CTAAACCCCAAAACCCCTGAACCTTAAACCCTGAACCCCTAAACCCCTATATAAACCCTGCTTCGGAGCCTGGTTCTCCCTTGTGAACAGTTCGGAGCTCGCGGTTCGGGTGAGTTCGCACAAGAGAGACCCAAAAATCCTTTCTCCCCAGGCTTGGGGTTTAGGTTTAGGGTTTAAAGCTAGGCTTTAGGGTTTAGGGCCAGGGTTTTGAGCTGTACAGCTTTCTGGTTGAAGGCTTAGGGTTTAAAGCTAGGCTTTAGGGTTTCGGGCTTGGGGTTTAGAGTTTTCGAGCTGTAGGGTTTAGGGGTCAGGGTTTAGACCTTTAGGCTTGTTTTGGGTTTGGGGTTCCGGGCTTAGGGTTTCGAGCTTTAAAGCTTTAGGGTTTATGGCTTAAAAGGGTTTGGGGTTTAGAGCGTTAGAGTTTTAGGGTTTGGGGTTTAGGGCTTAGGGATTAGAGCTTTAGGGTTTAAGGTATAGGGTTTGGGGTTTAAGGCTTAAGGTTTAGAGCTTTTGACTTTAGGGTTTAGGGCTTGGGGTTTGGGGTTTAGGGTTTAGAGCTTCAGGCTTTAGAGTTTAGGGTTTGGGTTTAGGGTTTCGAGCAAGAGTCAACAACTCATGCAAAATCCGCCCTAACCAATCTGCTTCAAAGGAGCCATGTGCGAATACATTGCATGATAATCTTCCGGTCGCAATGCATGGCGTCCCCTGTTGACGGGTCTTTGTGATCCTGGGCTCTTGTTCGAGTATTCCCACATTTCGATCACACTATAGAACAGAACCTTTGCGTGCTCGGGCAATATAGAAACAAAAAATAAATATGTATATATGCACATACACACACAAAAAAAATAATAAAAAATAAATATATATAAATATAAATATAAATATATATATAATATGCTACCCCCCCCTCAGTTATCTGCCTTTTTCGTGGCTTTCCACGGCACATGGGGGAGCATGTTCCCAAAACTCGGGGTCATGTTCAGTTAGTTTTTAATGCGAACCCATGTTGATCGCATCTGGCAGCGTGCTGTGAGGATCGTCTTCACCTAGGCCGTGCGTAATATAGCCAACGTAATGAAACGAAGCTACCCCTAAGGCTTCTGCCAGGCTAGCTGCAGGAGCGCTATTCTCCTAACCAATAAGGTTTGTAATTGAGGGCTGCATGTAAGCTAAGTTGTCAGGCTGTCAGGTTAAAATCAGGTTTCCGGTCCATGCTTTGGGGCTAGGATGACCATTCATGATATTCCTGCAGTTCAGTCTCAGGGTTGACATTTCGGGCAGTTTTATTGTGAAATGGGGTATCGAAGGTAACATCAGAGTCGCCAGTGCGACCACTATCATAGCCAAGGCCCGTCCTCAGTGTGAAAGTTGATGCTGTTCAGGATGAAAAATCACTTCAACTCCACTTTGGTTCTTAAGGTTCCTATTGGAGCTTGATCTCTAGTCTGCATCTACATATCAGACTTGCCGTTGGAGCTAACCCGGGGGCCGATGCTGAGCTTGGGCAATAAGCGAAGGCTGTAGTGAATAGTGCTGTCACGGTGTATATGGGCATGAGTGGTGAATACTGCTATGACGGTTAAGATGAGTATTAGAAAACGCTCATGCGAGGTCGGCTGGCAGTACTTCAGGGTTGAAAAACTTTGTTGAGGCCAGTGTGAGGGTTGTCAGGTTGTCATTTAGGGCATTTTAACAACTATAATACTAAGCTGAATCGTAGTTTGCAATGAAGAGACGTTGGGGTTGCTGTTGGAATTCATTGCTCAGTCAGATGTGAGGAGCCCCAACATGGCTTCAACATCCATACTGCTGTTGCGACAATTATTGCTTCTACCAAGTAGGATTTATTTTGCAGGCCAGCAGCCTTGTTTATCTTCAGCCATTTCCAACAGATTTCAGGGAGCAACACACGGAAACCAACACTACATGCTACAGCATCGTGGCTTTGATTTGCATGCAGCTCTAAAAGGATAGGCTATCACGCCGGCACTCAGCCATGTCATTCTTAGGTCTATTGTTACTAGGAATAATATTGGGTCCAATGGGCTTCAATGTGCAAGCCACGGGAAACAACGCTACTATTGTTCATCGTGGATTTGATTTGCATGTAACGCTGGAAGGGGCCATGCTTAACATGGGCAGGGCAAGTGAGTTGGAGTTCAGTCCGAAGTATTGAA